AGCCACGCCGGAGGTCGAGGAGGATGGCCTGCCGACAGGAGAAAACCCTTGGACGGGGGTCAAGAAAACCCCCGTGCCCAATGGGGTCCCAAGAAGGGGAAGCTTCGTAGACGGCGCCGGCGCCGAGCCAAGGACCACGAGGTCCGGAATTGGCGGCGGAGCAGGAGTGGCCGACATCGCATTAGCCGGCGCTCGTGGTGGCCGGCAGCAGATGGGGGACAGCGCTCGCGGCGCCGACGCCAGGTCACGGCCCGAGTTCTGGAGCCCGGCTAGCCAGCGCTCATGGATGCTGGCAATGCGCTCATCGACGGGGGTTAGAGGGCGGCGCGGCGGTGGGCGTGGCAGAGCCAGCGGAGGAGAGGAGAGGGAGGGCGGTGAGGGAGAGAGAGAGCGGTGGGAACAGTGCGTCTGGGCGGTGACAGCAGAGTGGGGGGCGAGTTATGAGACGTCCCCTCCGTCTCCCGCACTGCCCGAGGCATGCAATTGCCTCGCACGCATGGCCGCTCCCAGCCAGGCTCGCGAGAAACTGCCGATTCGGCAGTTTTCGCCGGGTCAGGCTGCGGGCTGCTTTAAGCTCCGTGCAGGCCACAAACCGCATGCAGCCCAGCCAACCAAACAGGCCGCGCACATCCCGCGCGGGCCTGGTTGGGCTGCATGCGGGCAACCAACCACGCCCTATGTGTACGTGGTTCAATGCTATGTGGGTTTGTACTATTAGTTTCTTGAAACATGTGTTTCTAGTATTTTACAACATCACATGAGACCCACGCCACCTTATAAGTTGATCTCTACCTCCTTGCTTTAGCAATGTGTGACCCAACCTTATGTTGGGAATCGTTTTGGAATTTCAGAAAATTTCGAGTGGTTCTCATGCACACATGGGCCATCATATCACTTCAATAAAATAGATGAAACTTTTGTGATATTCTTTGTTGTTGGACGCAGAAGGCAAGCGTGCTCGAGATGAACTTATGTCGGTGCTGGTTTCGGCCAGGTGTATGCTCTGCCTAAAACGTGGTTGATCTCTCCAGAATATCGGTCCATGGTCCATTTTCTAGCTAAGCTTGTTCTCCTGATGATGTGGTTGATCTCTCGGTAGATAGATACTACTACAACTTCATGTGTTTACTATTTATAGTGGGGCTCTAGCATTTGCTTAATTTTGTTATATCTCAAAAAAAAGGTCACGCTGAAGTTGGACGAGGGAGGATATAGAAAAGAATGCAAACGCTCTTGAATCTTGAGTACTACTCCCTCCGTTTCAAAATAGATGACTCAACTTTATACTAATTTTAGTATAAAATTGGTTCATCTATCCGTTCCAAAATAGATGACTCAACTTTATACTAATTTTAGTATAAAATTGGTTCATCTATTTTAGAACGGAGGGAGTACAAGAAAACCAATAGTAACACTACTCACAAAGTACTGTCGGCTGAACGCGCGTTTCCTTTCTTTAAGGTTGGTGTTAAAATGGACCATTGACCAATCTTCTCGAGAAATCAACCATATTTATGGTTGAGCATACATACACCTAGCCGAAACCAGCTAGTACTGGCGGAAGTTCAGCTCAAGCAAGCTTGCTTTCTGTGTCCAACAACAAAGAACTTCACACAAGTTCCAGCTGTTTCATTGAAGTGATAGGGTGGCCCATGTGTGCATGAGTCCCACTCTAAAAATTCCGAAATTCCAAAACAATGCCCAATTCAAGGTTCAGTCCCACATTGCTAAGGCAAAGACGTAGATATTAGACTACTACTTGGATCTCAAGTTAATTAGGAGTCCTAGTCATTTTGTAATAGCAGTCCTAGTCGTTTGTAATAGCCTTAGTCGGTTTGTACCCTCCTATATAATCTCATGAATGCGGCTGCAATTATCAATAAATATAGTTCTATTCAATCTTACATGGTATCAGATATTCGGTCCTAGGGTATGGCTCCACCGCCCAAACCTCCGCGGCTGCCGCCGCTGCCTGGCTACTTCGACCGCCGGGCCGCCATCCTCGCCAAAGCTGCCGCTGCCACCCCTCCTCTAGCACCACCGCTGCCTCCCGCACTTTCCTTTACCGATACAGTCGCCGATGTTAGCCCCTATATACCTATAACCCTTGATCTCAATTCCCACAACTACTACCATTGGCGCCACCTATTCGACGTCCACCTTGGGCGATGCAATCTCCGTTCCCACGTCGGCGCCGGCTCAGTTCCGCAGCCTCACACGATCCACAATGGGTCAAGGATGATCTCGCCATCATCCAATGGATTTACATGCGCGTCTGCACCGAGATTTTCAATCTTGTCTTACGTGATGCTACCACCGCCGCTGATCTCTGGGCGGCCCTCCGACAGCTCTTCCAGGACAACATTGATGCTCGCAGCAACATCCTCCACACCGAGCTCAGGAACACGGTGCAAGGAGATACTTCTCTCAGCGTCTGCTACCAACGCCTCAAGGCCATCTTCGATGAACTTCGTGAATTGGTGATCCAGTTGAAGACCGGCAGCTCATCAACAACCTCTTGGTTTTGAAAATCCCTCTTATCCCAACCACGTATGTCTTCTCCAAAAATCTTTCTACGGTCTCAAACAAGCTCCTAGAGCATGGTTTCAGCGTTTCTCCTCCTTCATTCAAACAATAGGCTTTCTTCCTTCTCTTTCGGACACATCTCTCTTTGTCTACCATCACAATTCTAAAATTGCCTACTTACTCCTCTACGTTGATGATATCATTCTCACTGCATCTTCTCAATACTTTTTGGACCGTATTACTCAACTTCGTGCTGAGTTCTCTATGACCGATCTTGGTCTTCTTCATGACTTCTTGGGTATTACTATTCTTCAGGATTCTTCTGGTCTTTTTCTTTCCCAACGGCAATACATTCTTGATCTTCTCAATCGTGCTGGTATGCTTGACTGTCAATCTTCTCACACCCCTATTGACACCAGTTTCAAACTCTCTGCTGCTGGTGAACCTTTTCCCGACACTACTCTTTATCGTAGCCTCACTGGTGCTCTCCAATATCTAGCCATCACTCGCCCTAAAATCTCTTTTGCTGTCCAGTGAGCCTGTCTCTACATGCATGATCTTCGTCTTCCTCACTATAATCACGTCAAATGTATTCTTCGGTATTTGAAAGGTACTCTTGATCATGGTCTCCACATCAATAATTCTTCTCCTACTTCTCTCACCGCATATTCTGATGCACACTAGGCTTGTTGTCCAGACACTCAACGATCTACATCTGGTTTCTGTGTTTTTCTTGGTAACAATTTGATTTGTTGGTCCTCAAAAAGACAGGTAATGGTCTCCCGCTCGTCCGCTGAAGCTGAGTACCGTGCAGTGGCACATGCTATTGCTGATATTATTTGGCTCCGTCAGTTGCTCTTAGAGTTACATCAACCAATTGAACAGGCTACCATTGTTTATTGTGATAACATATCAGCTGTCTACATGTCTGGGAATCCTGTTCAACATCGACGGACTAAACACATCGAGATTAACATTCATTTTGTTCGCGAGAAGGTGGCTCTCGGACAGGTTCAGGTCCTTCACATTCCTACTACAGCTCAATTTGCTGACATATTTTACAAAAGGCATGGCTACTACACAGTTTCAAAACATTCGATTTAGTCTCAACATTGTCGAGCCTCCCGTTGATCCCGTGGGGGATGTTAGACTATTACTTGGATCTCAACTTAATTAGGAGTCCTAGTCGTTTTGTAATAGCAGTCCTAGTCGTTTTGTAATAGCCTTAGTCGGTTGTACCCTCCTATCTTTACCTAATAATAAAGCAAATTGGGTTTCTTTCGTTCGTCATGGCATTTTTTTTGAAAAGTCCTTCTATTTCAGAGAATTCAACCCGCAGTCCTATTTTAAGTTAAAACGCATAGTTATTTTGTATTTTACACAAAAGTCTCTTTCTTTTCTTGAAATCAACCCGCGGATCATATTTAAGTCAACCAAATGCTTTTTAAAATCATCCATATCTTTTAAACCGTAACTCCGATTTGAACATGTTATATACGAAATTTGATTAGAAAAATATGTAGAATATGAATATGAGATTATTTTTACCTGTTAATTATTTTTAAATATTATTTTGAAATATATTTGAGTCAAACAAAATGATTTTCTAAATTATCTGTATCTTTTAAACCGTAACTTCGATTTTAACATATTATATATGAAATTTTATTAGAAAAATGTGTGGAATCTAAATATGATGTTAATTTTACCTGTTAAATATTTTTTAAATATTATTATGAAAGCAAACTTATAATTTATAGCGCAAGATTCGTTTTTTTCATACCGGTGGCGATCTGGATTGTAAATAAACACCCAACTATAACCATATACAGAAAAGAGAACATCGATAACTACACATGCATACCTCTGAAAAATGTCGCAGGGAAAAACAACAGATTTCTCATCGCGAGAGTGAGAGAAAGCGAGCGAGAGGGAGAGGGAGGAGAGAGGGAGAGAGAGACGCCTTAGGATTAACCATATTCAACACACGTTTTTTGTTGTTTTGTGTGGACACCGAGGCCATCGCCGGCGAGGGTGAGAAGGAGGATAAGCGGCAACACAAATATGATGCCTCGCAAAAATAAAGGAGATGGACCTATTGTGGTCTTGAATGATGGTTGTTGAATTAAGAGTGTGTGTTATGTTTTCTCTCCCGTTGCAACACACGGGCTCTTTTGCTAGTATAATCTCATGTATGTGGCTGCAATTATCAATAAACATAGTTCTATTCAATCTTACAGTAGAGATCAACTTATAAGGTGGCCAGGCAGGTCTCATGTGATGTTGTGAAGTACTACAAACACAGGTTTAAAAAAAGTTACAAAGCCACATAACATTGAAATATATACACATAGCGTGTGTGCTCGCGTGAACTGCGACTTGTACAATCATTATGTTTTTGGTGTGCATGCACGTTATGTTTTTGGTAAGAGTAACGTCTCCAATCTTTGGTTCTACCTTGCCCAGTAGCCATCCTACCGACCTTCAGGGTTTGTGATGGTCAGCTCGGCGTTGCCGGATGTGTCCTCCTGCACGTCCAGAAGGTCCGTCAGAGAGCTCACAGGCATGCAAACCACCGGCCGAAGCGGCCGTCCCGGCAGTTGTTGGTGCGACAACATGGATATTATGGCAACCATTTGCGGTCGTTAGGTCGGGCTCTCCTGAACGCACAGTAGCCCTACCTGGATGCACGTCGCGGCCTGCTCTAGCTCGGTCGGGCTACAACCGCCCCGCACGGCTGGGTCAAGGAGCTCGAGGCTCTTGTTTTCTTCAAATAGCCCCCATGCCTGCAAAAAGATTATTATGCTTGTCAATGCCATTGTGGGATTCAAACAAACGTGGTTGGGACTTTGGCCGTCTTGGCATGGTATTTTGAGTTCGGATGAAATTTATAAAATCACACAAAACTCACTTTTACTATTTTGTACAGTTGCAAGAGGCAATTGACTTCTTACATGAGCAATGAGGTTGAAACTTCGTTGGTTCCTCCTGCTACTAATGATCTCCAGCAACAGCACACCGAAGCTATACACGTCCTGCATGAACGATACCATGCCGTCCATCGCATACTCAGGTGACATGTAACCACTGCAGCCACACATGGGCAGCATACAAAATCAGTTAAGGAACCCATCGTGGGTACACTAGAAAAGAAACAAAGAGTCGATGTAACTATAAATACTTGTCCACTGTTTGTGTTATATAAAGTTTGCAGTTCTTACTATGTCCCAACAATCCTTTCCGTGACCTGATGGTCGCTGATGCTGCTGAACAGCTTGGCGATTCCAAAATCCGATATCTTGGCCACCATCTCCCGGTCGAGGAGAACGTTGGCCGCCTTGAGATCTCGGTGGATCATCGTGTGCCTCGAGTCCTGGTGAAGGTAGAGAAGCCCTCTGGCAATGCCGAAGATGATGTCCATCCTAGTCTTCTAGCTCAAGGTGGCGTGTCTCCTTGGATCTGTTGGCGAATTCACACAATTGTATTTATCATCATAAATGGTAGTAACTGGTATACTACAGCCAGTCAAGACATGTCATACGTACCAAAAATGAAGGTGTCCAAGCTCTTGTTGCTCATGTACTCGTAGACCAGTATCCTCTCAGACTGGTGGATGCAGTAGCCGAGCAGGCGTACGAGGTTGCGGTGCTGTAGCTTGGCGATCAGGTTCACCTCGTTCCTGAACTCCTTCAGACCTTGCACTCTATTCCCTGCTGACAGCTTCTTCACTGCAACTTCTTGGCCATCTACCATTTGACCCTGATAAAGAAATCCAGTTAATCAATCCACATGTTGTCTATGCGAGCATAGGAAATTTTCAGTCTGATTTCACATGGGTTTTACAAGCATTATCACCTTGTATACAGTGCCGAAGCCACCACACCCTATTTCATTTTTGGCGCAGAATCCGTCGGTGGCGGCTTTAAAGGTTTCGAGATGGTACGCTGGACACTCGCCTCTCACGATGTGATCAAACTCGGTGACTGGAAAATGGAGCAAGAAGCCATAACGCATGAGCAGTAGATCGAGCAAGTAGTAGTTTCAGGTTATCCTCCTGAAACGAATTCACCATGGACTCTTGACTCACTTTGCTTATTGCGCTGCCGGATCTTTCTCCAGATCAGGAGGCCAAGTGATAGCAGAAGCAATGCAAATGTTGTTATCACCGCGGCGACGACCATGACGAGCTTGTTGGTCTTGGTTGTCCCTGAATTAAGATGCAGGAGTAGTGTAAACGCGCGAAAATTGTGTACTCCTTAAGCCATTGTACTAGTGTATGGTGCATCATAATGTGTGAGCTTAACATGTTTGTCTTGGTATAGGCTTGACAAGGTCCTTACCTCCAGGGACAGAAATATCAATATGTTAATGAACAAAAAGTCTGATTTCTTGACTTCAACCAAAAATTACAACATGATTTTTTTTGTTTAACTGGTGACTCAAAAAGTCTGATTTCATGACTTCAATTGAAAGTTACAGCATGAATTATTTTTGTCTAATTGGTATCTGAAGTCGCGCCAAAGGAGTTAGAATATCCCTACTCCGACCAGTTCGTGGTGATGGTATTATCCGTCGTTTCTGACCAAATGTATGTGAAATAAGTTGTGCCATCTTTATAGAAAGACCCCACTCCACTCCACTCCACATTTGCAGAAAACCCCTAAGTCTAACCCCACCTCATCCTGATAGATAATATAAATTGATGTAAAAAAAAAGATAATGCGAATGCCATGATTCTGGAACTCGAATCAACACTTACAAAATAACATTCCGTTCATGAACAAAAAAGCCAGATTTCATGATTTCAACCAATAGTTATGAGATGAATTGTTTTTTGTTTAACTGGTAGCTCAAAAAGTCTGATTTCTTGACTTCAACTGAAAGATACAACATGTTTTGTTTTGTCTAATTGGTAACTCAAGTCAAGGTAAAGAAGAAGTTGTCTCTAATCCTAGCAGTTTGTGCTGATAGTGTGTCTGTCATCCATCATTCTGAGCATGTGAAATAAGCTATTGCATTTCTTTTATAAAAAGGCACCCAACCACTCCCCTACCTCATCAGAACAGGTAAATTGTTGAAAAAAAAAACAGATAAGGTGAATAAAATTTGGATGAAATTGATCTGGTTCTAGCGATCCATGCTGAGGAGTGTAGAGTGTTTAATTACCTAGGCCAAGTTCAGACATTGCCAGCTTGACGAACAGATCCTGGCCGTCGTCGCCTAAGCGCGTGTCCATGAGCTCGCCGAACCACTGTATGCACCCGGTCCCGCCGCCACGGATGTCCGACGCGGCGTACGCCGTGCAGTAGCAGTTGGACAGGCACCTCCGGCCGCACTCCGCGAGCGAGGCGCCGGCGTCCACGCTGCTGTTGTGCGTCTCCGGCAGCTTCACACCGCGCAGAACGTAGAAACCGTCATCGCCGCACTGAAGCGGCGTGCTGCGGGCGCACCCGCCGGACGAGTTCCGCATGCGCCACTCCGCCGGCGACCTCGGCAGGAACCCCCTGATGCATCCGCACACCACGGCGCCGACGGCGTTGCACACGCCGAACGGGCCACACGCGCCGTAGACGTCGCACTGGTCCCTCGGCACCGACCAGAAAACGCTCCACGCGAGCGTCGCGGGGTTCCAGACCATGCGCTGCACCTCGCCGGACTCGGTCAGGACCATGCGGGACACCGGCGAGCCGACGCGGTCGCGGTACACGTACGACACCTCGTCGGCGGTGTGGGTGAACTGGAATTCGACAAGGTCCTCGAAGGTGGTCATGCCTGGGCAGCCGCTGAACCGCACCCCGTTCCACGGGCCCGTCCGGTACGTCTTGCGCCCCTTCCTCCAGACGTGCAGCTCCGGCGAGCCCCGCGTGTCCATCACGTAACGGAAGTCGCCGGTCGACGGGTCATCGGCGCCGCGCCACGACGAGGCGGACCACACCGCGCCGGTCCGGAGGTCCTGCCCGGCCCACAACCCTGAGAGGAACGTGTTGGTCGGGTGGTCGAAGCTTTGCCACACCACGACGCCGGCCGCGTCCGCGAGCACCAGGTTGCCGTCGTCGCGGAGCTGCGCTACCACCGCGGCCGAGGAGTTGGACCACCAGATGGTCTCGTTATTGCTGGCGACGTCGAGGAGTACGAGGTCCCCTCGGCTGCTGAGCGTGACTACGCCGGAGGACGAGGTGTCGAGCGGGCGATCGCGGTTGGCGACCCAGACGACGGCGTCCGGGGAGGCGGTGAACCAGATGCCGAGAAACCATTTGGTGTTGTTGGCGACGGAGAAGAGGCCGAGCAGGAAGGCGCCGCCGGGCGAGGCCAGCCTCTGGTCGCCGCCGATGGCCCTCCTCTGCGTCAACGTGCTGTCGGTGACGGCCGAGGCTGTGAGCAGCAGCACAGACAGAAAAGCGAGCAAGAGCCGGTGGTGGCTGAGGCTCTGGCTCATGATCTTGAGCGCGCGCCCGGTGAATTGAATACCGCCGCTTCACCGAGAGTAGGGGATTGCAGCAATGGTGGAGTTGATCTGTGCTCACGTTTTATACAAAGAGCAGTTATGGGCTGGGCTTATAGATTAGGATCGCTCTTGCATCGTCTCCTTCACCCTTATAAAAGTTTCACGCGCTAAAATAGTTTTAGCGCGTTATTATAGCACTTTTAGCACGCTAGACTCAACATTAGTTTAGCAGATGCCCAAAAATCCACGTCCAAAAAACATGCAGTGTAAATTATGAAAAGCGTGCAATCCAACGTCTTAAATTTGCAACTTCTGATACCGCATTTTAGCGCGTGCCTAATCAAGTGTACCAGGAAAAGTGATGAAAGAGAAGCATTAGAAACGTTTTTAGGTTCTTATGAAGTCCATAATAGAGGAATGGCATATCGCAGAGTTTTGGGATAAACTTAGAGGCTGGCTGTGGGGCTCGGCATAGAGGCAAGCAAGCCTCTAAGCACTGTGAATGTTCTCAAAACTAGTAATATTTGGCTTGTTAATATTCACAAATATGAGTTGTCTGTCTAATAAAATCTATGGATTGCACTCTCGTTGTCATCGCCGACTCGCCAATTCTTTCCGGTCAGTTTTCCCTTCTTCCTCCTCCCATGCATATGTTTTCTTCTGTGGACTGGTTTTGTATGCCTCAATTGCATAGGAATTTAAACATCCACCCAAAATTCTTTAACATGTTAACGTAGGATCGACACATTTTTATGTGTTTCTTTTCCTTGGTGATCCATCGAAACGACAAATATTGCAAAATATTGCTCTTTCACAATTTCTTGTTTTGCACTTGCAAACTTTGTCAGATTCATGTGATTGTATAATCCCACGTTTCTCAAGCATGTGGTCCAAAGAGGTCCTATAACACTATAAAGCGGAAGTCAATAAATATTTTTCAAGTCACGTATTATTTTGTTTTATTTCTTTTCTTTTTATTTGCATTAACTCACATGCCATCCCTAAGCAATAATACCACCTACTATGTACGAATACAATATTTCTTGCTTGGCACCTATTTTTCCTATTTTCTATGCCTATATAGTCCCACCTTTGCTATATAAAGTGTCCAAAGATGAAGCATCAGACCTATAAGAAAAAGAGAACAGGAGAGAAACACACATAGAGAAAAATCGACGATCACAATAAGAGAGACCCGAGTAGCATCACCTAATGTTTCTGTTGTCTTCATTTATCCAGGCCGGCTTAAGGATGAAAGGCATCAAGGAAATGATTCTTGCATTGTTATCCTAAGCTAGACTAACTTGTGGTTTTCTCTAAGAGAAAATAGACACCAGATTCCCTAGCAATGCAGTATTGTGGTTTTCTTTTTCGCGGGTAGCAATGCAACATAGTCGATATAGTTTTTTGTGTTTATTGGATTCGACTTTACAGCAAAGAATCACTGAATTGTAGGTACATCCGGGTGTTCTCTGACTATCTGGTGGCATTGGCTCCAAAATATAAAATAAGTAGTAAGGACTTATTTGGTTGGTGACTAAATTTTACATTGTTTACCATACTATTTTTGCTTTACTTGTCTTACCTTAATTGTTTAGAATCTTAGCCACACTATTGCTTTCTTAAGGGAATTTTGCCACACCTTTTATGTGTATGACATATTGGCTTATGTCTCACAAAAAGAATCTTCGCTTAAATACGGTTAAAATCAAACACATACTACTAGCTAAGTTGATGAAAGTACCTAACTTAAAATGTGACATAGTGTGTCAAGACATGACTAGGAACCAAACAACCCCTTATTGCTTCACGTCTCTCGCCAAATTCCCCGCTCTATTGTGCCAGTCACACTCAGCTATACCAATAACTTCCAAAAAACGGCGCTGGTCCATTCCCACCAGCGACCACACGCACACGGTCCGTGTGCGGAACGCGCACCTAAGCTTCCCCCTACCACGCCTCAGCTAGTCAGCCTGGGGGGTTGCCATGACCTCGGCCTTGGCGAGCACCAAGATGGCGGAGCTGGACCCACTGCTCCATGCCCTTGACTTCGAGATCGAAGAGGTCTTGCCATCGCGGCTCATCGGCCACCTCGTCGTCAGGAACACCTGCTGGTGCTATAGCTAAGCAATAATACCGTCTACTATGTGTACGACTAATGTCAATACAGTATTGATTGCTTGGCACCTAATTTTCCACTTTCCTACCTCTATATATCCCCATCTTCACTATATAACGCATCCAAACATGCAGCAGCAGAACAATAAGAAAAGGAGAGCAAAAGCGAAACACAACTAAAGAAAAAAAAATGATGATCGCAATAAGAGAGACGAGAGTCACATCACCTAATGTTTCCATCGTCTTCATTTGCTCATGGTAGCTTAAGGATGGGAGGCACCCGGGGAACGGGTTTCTCCACCATCATCCTAAGATGGACTAAATTGTGGTTTTCTCGTCGAATTCCCTAGCAATGAAGTGTAGGTGATGGAGTTGTTTCTGGGTTCGTCGGCATAACCGTGTATCACTAGGTCTTCACTAGGCGTTGTGTGAGTGCATTCGTGTGATGGTGTTACTGTATGCGTGTGTAGTTGTATTCGATGTTTCTAGAAAAATCGTGGGTAAAACGGGGTGTTCTATCTTGTGGTGTCGGCTCCGAAGAAAAAAGAATTCTCCCGGTCTTCAATTGTGCCAGTCAAGCTTAGCTACTAAGAGCATCTACAACAGCCGCGCAACGCGCCACGCGCTAAAAACTCATTTGCCGCACGCCCTTCGCCTGGTTTGGCGCGGCCGGCAGCGCTAGTTCCAGCAGCCGCGCTAAAACTGAGCGCGCGCGCGTAGCACCAGCGGCCGCGCTAAAATGCAGCGCGCGCTAAACATTGCGTACATTCTTTTAATAAAACGATAAATAAAATTCATAGATCAAAACGATACATAGATATTTTATATAGTTCCATAGCATAGATAGATAAAAAACTACGGTGCAACGATTTTTTTAAAAAACTACTAGATAGTGCAACTACAGCGTACTCCCAGTCATCATCATTATCATCATCGCCATCCTCGCTGGTCTGGTCCGAGGTATCGAGCCACATGTCTTTCCAACGGTCATCATTAGACAAAAAGATCGACTGCCCACCATTTTCAACGATTTCGCACTGCGATAACGCAAGGGCCTTCCGCTGACGTCTGGCCAACCGCTCCGCGCGGCGCCTTGCCGTCTCCTCGCGACGCCTTGCCCAGAAGGCTTCCTCGTTGACGACGTCCTCCGGGTGGCGCCGGCGCCACTCCGCCATGGCCCGCTCGTCCTCCTCGGCGACGAGGAGGGGGCGCTGCCGCCGAGCGTGCTCCACACGGTCCTGGTCCGTGATAAGACGAGGCGGAGGGGCGACGTCCTGCGCCTGCTGGCGTGTTTGGACATCTTGGAAGTTCATCTGCTGGCGCGGCCTGTCCAGGCGCCACGCTGCCGCGTCGTAGGCGCGTGCGGCCTCGTGCGAGGTCCGGAACGTACCGAGGCCGAGCCGGACGTCACCGGACCGAATCTCAGCGGAGTACCAGCCGTTGGGGCGCTGGCGGACGCCGCGGTAGCCCGGCGCTCCTCGGCGGCACGGCGGCATGATGGCGCGTCGGTTTACATTTAAAGGTAATCCTCCTACCAATGTCGAGAAATACCAAATTTAAGTGAACATGACAGCATTGCAGATATTAAGACTATAGAAGAAACAATACCTCATCTGACTCCTGAATCTTTGGGTACACCTGTACCATTTCATCATAAAGTAGTCAATAATAGGATATACGTATATGGAAACGGAAAAAAAATGTTAGAGCTGTTCCAATAATTAAGAGTCAAGACCATAAGAAGTGGCCAAATAAAACTGTATACGACCTCATAATTTTACACAGCGCCTAACACTGAAAGTGATTAGTTGTGAGCCATGATATCATGTGGGATCAGCACTTCTGTCTACAACTATATGTCCCAGCTTGTTGCTAATTTTTGGTGTAGCTAAACCATTTTTCATAAAATGGTCACAACATGGAATCCCCATGTCTAAGTTTACAATTTTGCTGGAGCACTTGATTTGGATGATTGGGTTTAAACTTGTTATTCTTAAGGCAGAAAGGCCAGCATGCACCGCCCTGACGCCTAAGCACCTAAGGTGGGCAAAATTGCAAGGCGCTGGCAGGGCACCTTGTTGCCACTGTATTTTTTTCTTTCAAAATTTGGATTTATTTGGCTTGGCTTGCCAAAATGTAGTTGTGGCGGGCATATGACAATGTCCGCCACTGACTTATGAGAGAGCAGTGGCAGGCTCTAACTTCCGCTCACCACTACACATTTCATTCCGTGGGCTTATTTGGAAGATCCCACTTGTGACGAGTGCAAGCCCGCGGCCGCCATTAGACCGCCTTTAGCTGTGGCGGTTAAGACCAGTTATCCGCCACAATTGTTTTAAAAATTATAGTTTATCTATATGGCTTTGTGTACGCCCGTGTGGGTTGAGACAGATACATGGTCATCACCCGCGTGCCACCAACGCCCTCTGCAGTGCAGCCGCTGCAGGCGCCACCAGCCCACCTATGGCAGCCGCCTCCCTTCATCGACCTCAGCGCGGACGAGGAAGACGGCAGCGACGGCATCCAGTGAAGACGGGGGCCAGAACGGCGGTGACAACCGTTCTAAGGTTTCCTTTGGAGTTTAAGTCTGCTTTTTTTAATGTTTTAAGTTTAATGCATATGGACAGTTCGGCGTGAATTTAATGTGATAACCGTGGACGACCGCAAACAGACACTTTTGTTCCTTTTACCAATGTAAATGAACAGAATCCGAATAAAATGGATGACTATTTACGATCGTGTGTGGAAGTTGGCAGCCGGACCAGTACCAGCGTGAAATGGTCAAATCACAATATCACCAAGCTTCAGGGCCTGTTTGTTTCATAAGTCCCAGGACTTTTTTAAGTCTCAATTTATAAGTCATAAGTCCCTGCCTGTTTGTTTACATCGACTTATAAATTCCGAGTCCCTGCCTGTTTGTTTACAGGGACTTATAAGTTGATAATCATTTTTCATACAAACGAATTACAGAGGGGAATTGAGAAGTTGCTGGTATGACCACGTCCACGTCCAACCGGAGGAAGGCCATGACCGGCCGACTGGTGAAAGAGAAGTTGCTGGTACGAGCCCAACTCCGGGAAGACGTCCGTGTTGTTGTTGAGATCCAAGAAACCCATTCCCCTCCCGAGATTTCCATCGGCGGATGAGCCTTCGGGTGCCTCCTGAGACGAGGGGAATTGAGAGAAGAAGGGGATCTCGTCTTCCTCGTCGGCCATGGCGGCGGCTGTTGAAGCTGCCGGCGGCGGCGGCGATTAGTGCGACGCGAGCGAGGCGACGAGGGGAACCGAGGGGGCGATGCGGTACGAGGCGAACGAGCGGCGTGGGGCGATGCGGTACGCGAGGCGAGGAGGGGATCGAGCGGTGCGGGTCCAGATAAGTTCCGATAAGCTCCTCCCTGAGCGATTTCTTGATTGCTGCATTCCTCTACTCTCGGCGAAGCCCCGCGCGCGCAAGATCATGAGGCCCAGCCAGAGCCGCCACCGGTGCTTGCTCGCTTTTTTTGTCTCGGCTGCTTCTCACGGCCTCGGCCGTCGCCGACAGCACCTTGACGCAGCGGACGGCCTCTTCTCCGTCGCCAACAACACCAAGTGGTTTCTCGGCATATGGCTCACCGCCTCCCCGGGCGCCGTCGTCTGGGTCGCCAACCGTGACCGCCCGCTCAACGCCTCATCCTCCGGCGTAGTCGTGCTCAGCAGCCGAGGGGACCTCGTGCTCCTCGACGCCGCCAGTGGTAACGAAACCATCTGGTCCTCGTCCAGCTCCTCGGCGGCGTCGGTGGCGCAGCTCCACGACGACGGCAACCTGGTGCTCGCGGACGCGGCCGGCGTCGCGGTGTGGCAAAGCTTCGACCACCCGACCAGCACGTTCGCCTCGTCGTGGCGCAGCGCCGACGACCCGTCGCCCGGCGACTTCCGGTACGTGATGGACACGCGGGGCTCGCCGGAGCTGCACGTCTGGAGGAACGGACGCAAGAGGTACCGGACGGGCCCGTGGAACGGGCTGCGGTTCAGCGGCTGCCCGGACATGACCACCTTCGAGGATCTGGTGGAGTTCCGGTTCACCCACACCGCCGACGAGGTCTCCTTCGTGTACAGCGACCGCGTCGGCTCGCCGGTGTCCCGGCTGGTCCTGAACGAGTCCGGCGCGATGCAAAGCATGGTCTGGGACCGCGCGGCGCTCGTGTGGAGGGTCTTCAGGTCGGGGCCGAGGGACCAGTGCGACTTCTACGGCGCGTGCGGCCCGTTCGGTGTGTGCAACGCGGTCGGCGCCGTGATGTGCGGCTGCATCAGGGGGTTCATCCCGAGTTCGCCGGCGGAGTGGCGCATGCGAAACGCGTCCGGCGGGTGCGCCCGCAGCACGGTGCTGCAGTGCAGTGGCGGCGACGGGTTCTATACCCTGCGCGGCGTGAAACTGCCGGAGACGCACGGCAGCAGCGTGGACGCCGGCGCATCGCTCTTGGAGTGCGGCCGGAGGTGCTCGTCCAACTGCTCCTGCACGGCGTACGCCGCGTCGGACATCCGTACGTGGGGGCGGGACCGGGTGCATACAATGGTTCGGCGAGCTCATGGACACGCGCTTCGTCGACCACGGCCAGGATCTATTCATCAGGCTGGCAATGTCTGACCTTCACCTAGGTAATTATAAACACATTACACTCTCTTTGCTTCGGATCCAAAATCCAAAATAAAACTACAGTTTTGCTAAAGCACATTTTTTTAGATGTGTCATAAGTATTGCACATCTAAGTCCTAAGTCATTGATTTTACGCAGAGATTCGTATGGATAATCACAAACTTGAAACAAGATCACCTTAATTTCCGTATATATCACTATTGCTTATGTTATGTTTCACCCAATTTGTATTCACAAAATCCCTTTTTTTTACATGATGAATTCATCTTATCTGTTTGGATGAGGTAGGGGAAGGATGGGCACGTCTGGATAGACTAAGGTTTAATTTTTTTTTCAAATATGGAGTTACAAAAATGGCACAACTTATTCTGCATACGCTAGATATAGATATGATGGCCAGAAAGACAAAAAAGATGGATGCCAGACATACCATCATCGACTACTAATAAGATATTATGACTCCTTTAGCTTGACTTCAGTTACCAATTAGACAAAAATAATTTATGTTGTAACTTTCAATTGAGTCATGAAATCAGACTTTTTGAGTTACCAGTTAGACAAAAATAATTCATGTTGTAACTTTCGATTGAAGTCATGAAATCAGACTTTTGGAGTTACCAGTTACACAAAAACAATTCATGTTGTAACTTTTGGTTGAAGTCAAGAGATCAGACTTTTTGTTCATTAACAGAATGATATTTTTAGTTCCTGGAGGTAAGGACCTTGTCAATCCTATGCCATGGCAAACATGCCAAGCTCACACATTACGATGCACCTTATACTAGTATAATGGCTTAAGGAATACACAATTTTTGTGCGTTTACACTGCACATGCATCTTAATATTAGAGACAACAAAGACCAGCAAGCTCGTCGTGATCATCGCCACGGTGGTAACATAATTTTCATTGCCTCTGCTATCGCTTGGCCTTGTGATCTGGATAAAGATCCGGCAACGCAGTAAGCAAGGTGAGTCGCCTTCCTTGGTGAGTTTGTTTCAGGAGGATAACCTGAAACTACTACTTGCTCTATCAGCTGCTCATGTATTTGTTGCTTCCTTCTCCATTTTTTAGTTATCAAGTTTGATGACATGGTTTGAGGTGAGTGTCCGACGTACCATCTCGAAACCCTTAGAGACGCCATCGACGGATTCTGCCCCAAAAATGAAATAGGGCGCGGCGGCTTTGGCATTGTTTACAAGGTGATAATGCTTGTAAAATTCATGTGAAATCAGACTGAAAATTTCCTATGCTCGTATGGACAACATGCGGGTAGTGCTCGCCATGTTGTACTTATATGACAAATGTCTAATTAATTACCTGAATTTTCTTTGACAGGGTCAAATGGAAGATGGCCAGGAAGTCGCAGTGAAGAAGCTATCAGCAGGAAACAGTGTGCAAGGTCTGAAGGAGTTCAAGAATGAGGTGGACCTGATCGCCAAGCTGCAACACCGTAACCTCGTACGCCTGCTCGGTTGCTGCATCCACTGCTGCTCCGAGAGGATACTGGTCTATGAGTACATGAGCAACAAGAGCTTGGACACTTTCATTTTTGGTATGTATGACGTGTCTGGCTAACTGCAATATACCAGTTACTACTCCATCCATTCCAAAATATAGTGCGCCCGCGCTTCTCGAGGTCCAACTTTGACCATAAATTTAACCAACGAGACCGACTGCGGCGGGAGAAAAAATTGAATAATTGAAAACTTCTTTCGAATACGAATTCACTGACATAACTTTTGCTCCCGCCGCAATCGGTCTTGGTAGTTAAATTTACGGTCAAAGTTGAAGCACGAGGATAGAGGAAGCACTACATTGTGGAATGGAGGGAGTACCATTTATGACGAGAAATTGAATTGTGTAAATTTGCCAACAAATCCAAGGAGGCACACTGGCTTGAGCTGGAGAACTAGGATGGACATCATCTTCGGTGTTGCAAGAGGGCTTCTCTACCTTCACCAGGACTCGAGGCACACGATGATCCACCGAGATCTCAAGGCGGCTAACGTTCTCCTCGATAGGGAGATGGTGGCCAAGATATCGGATTTTGGAATCGCCAAGTTGTTCAGCAGCATCGGCGACCATCAGGTCACAGAAAGGATTGTTGTGACATAGTAAGAACTGCAAACCTTGCATAACACAAACGGTGGAGAAGTACTATATAGTTACCTTGACTTTTTCCTTTTCTTTTCAAGTGTATCCTCTCCCGATTTCTTGACTGATTTTGCATGATGCCCATGTGTGGCGCAGCGGTTACATGTCACCAGAGTACGCCATGGACGGAATGGTTTCGTTCATGCAAGATGTGTACAGCTTCGGTGTGCTGTTGCTAGAGATCATCAATGGGAGGAGGAACCAACGAAGTTCCAACCTCATAGCTCACGTAAGTGAATTACCTCCTGCAACTGAATTCAAACAGCCAAAATGAGTTTTGTGTGATTTTATAAATTTAACACAAACTCGAAATAGCGTGCCTAGACGGCCAAAGTCCCAACCAATTTGTTTGAACCAAGAAATACACCATGATAGAATCACATTGAACCCCACAAATCGCATTGACAAGCACAAGCACAATAATCCTTTTGCAGGCATGGATGCTATTCGAGGAAAACAAGAGCCTCGAGCTCCTTGACCCAGTCGTGCGTGATGGCTGCAGCCTAGCGGAGCTAGAGCAGGCGGCGACGTGCATCCAAGTAGGTCTACTGTGCGTTCAGGAGAGCCCGAGCCAACGACCGCAAATGGCTGCCATAATACCCATGATGTCGCACCAAAAGGCATTGGAACGGCCACTTCGACCGGTGGTCTGCATGCCCGTGAGCACTCTTGCGGACCTTCTCAACGTGCAGGAGGAAACATCCGGCAACGTCGAGCTGACCATCACAAACCTTGAAGGACGATAGGATGGATGCAAGGCAAGCTGGAACCAAAGATTGGAGACGTTACTGATGACTTTCTCAATGTTATTGGGTAGGACACGTGCATGCACGCCAAAAACATAATGACTATACATGTTGCAATTCAGGCGAGCACACACACTATGTGTACGTGGTTCAATGCTATGTGGGTTTGTACTATTATTTTTTGAAACATGTGTTTTTAGTATTTTACAACATGATATGAGACCCACCTGGCCACCTAGCTTATAAGTTGATCTCTACCTCCTTGCTTTAGCAATGTGTGACTGAACCTTATGTTGGGAATCGTTTTGGAATTTCAGAAATTTTAGGGTGGTTCTCATGCACACATGGGCCTTCATATCACTTCAATGAAACAGATGAAACTTTTGTGATATTCTTTGTTGTTGAAAGCAGAAGGCAAGCGTGCTCGAGCTGAACTTCCGCCGGTGCTGGTTTCGGGCTTTCGGCCAGGTGTATGCTCAACCTAAAACATGGTTGATCTCTCGAGAATATCGGTCCATGGTCCATTTTCTAGCTAAGCATGTTCTCCTGATGATGTGGTTCATCTCTCGCGAGATAGATACTACTACAACTTCATGTGTTTACTATCTTTAGTGGGGCTCTAGCATTTGCTTAATTTTGCTATATCTCTAAAAATGGTCGTGTTGAAGTTGGCCGAGGGACGACACAGAAAAGAATGCAAATGCTCTTATCTTGAGTACTATATGAAAACCAATTGTAACACTACTCACAAAAGTACTGGCGGCTAAACATTTCCTATCTTTAAGGTTGGTGTTAAAATGGACCATTAACTGATCTTCTCGAGGGATCAACCATGTTTAAGGTTAAGGATACATACACCTAGCCGAAACCAGCTAGCACTGTCGGAAGGTCAGCACGATCAAGCTTGCTTCCTGTGTCCAACAACAAATAACTTCGCATAAGTTCCACCTATTTCATTGAGAAGTGACATAATGGCCCATGCGTGCATGAACTGCAAACAAAACTCTCTCGGGACTCTTGTTAGTTGGAGGCACTCGTTGTTTCGAGCAAGCCATGGATTGATGCTTGTTGGTGGAGGAAGAGTATAAACTTTACCATTCTGTTTGGGAACCGCCTATAATGTGTGTAGCATGGAAGATATCGAGATCTCTCGGTTGTTATATTGACAATGAAAGTATACCGCTCAAAATATTATCCATATCTATTTCAAAACCGAGCTCTGGCACCTCTACAAATCTCTGCTTCCCTCTGCGAAGGGCCTATCTATTTACTTTTATGTGGAGTCATCATCCTCTTATTAAAAAGCACCAGTTGGAGAGCACCTCTATCATTTGCATCTATTACTATTAGTTTACATTGAGTATGACTATGACTGGATCTCTTTTACCATGAATTACAATGTCTAGTCAGTCCTTGATATTTAAAGGTGCTCCGCATTTATGTTTTGCGGTCTCAGAAAGGGCTAGCGAGATACCATCTTGTCATATCATATCATGATTGTTTTGAGAAAGTGTTGTCATCCAAGATTTATTATTATTGCTCACTAGTTGGTTATGCCATTGGCATGAGTAAACACGAGACTTAAGTGTTATTGTGAAAATGGTTAGTTCATAATCTTTGCTGAAAACCTGAATGCTGGCTTTACATATTTACAACAACAAGAGCAAACAGAGTTTGTAAAAAAATTTCTTTATCACTTTCAGTTTATCAACTGAATTGCTTGAGGACAAGCAAAGGTTTAAGCTTGGGGGAGTTGATACGTCTCCGTCGTATCTACTTTTCCAAACACTTTTGCCCTTGATTTGGACTCTAACTTGCATGATTTGAATGGAACTAACCCAGACTGACGTTGTTTTCAGCAGAATTGCCATGGTGTTATTTTTGTGCAGAAATAAAAGTTCTCAGAATGACCTGAAAATCAACGAAGAATTATTTAGGAATATATAAAAAATACTGGAAGAAAGATCTACGTCAGGGAGGCCACCACCTGTCCACGAGGGTGGGGGCGCGCCCTACCCCCCCTAGGCGCGCCCCCTGCCTCGTGGGCCCCCTAACGGTCCACCGACCTCAACCTTGACTCCATATATTCACTTTCGGGAAGAAAAAAAATCAGAGAGAAGGATTCATCGCGTTTTATGATACGGAGCCGCCGCCAAGCCCTAAACTCTCTCGGGAGGGCTGATCTGGAGTCCGTTCGGGGCTCCGGAGAGGGGAATCCGTCGCCATCGTCATCATCAACCTTCCTCCATCACCAATTTCATGATGCTCACCGCCGTGCGTGAGTAATTCCATTGTAGGCTTGCCGGACGGTGATGGGTTGGATGAGATTTATCATGTAATCAAGTTAGTTTTGTTAGGGTTTGATCCCTAGTATCCACTATGTTCTGAGATTGATGTTGCTATGACTTTGCTATGCTTAATGCTTGTCACTAGGGCCCGAGTGCCATGATTTCAGATCTGAACCTATTATGTTTTCATCAATATATGAGAGTTCTTGATCCTATCTTGCAAGTCTATAGTAAACTACTATGTGTTATGATACGGCAACCCCGAAGTGACAATAATCGGGACCACTCCCGGTGATGGCCATAGTTTGAGGAGTTCATGTATTCACTATGTGTTAATGCTTTGGCCCGGTACTCTATTAAAAGGAGGCCTTAATATCCCTTAGTTTCCAATAGGACCCCGCTGCCATGGGAGGGTAGGACAAAAGATGTCATGCAAGTTTTTTCCATAAGCACGTATGACTATATTCGGAATACGTGCCTACATTACATTGATGAACTGGAGCTAGTTCTATGTCACCCTAGGTTATGACTGTTACATGATCGATCGCATCCGGCATAATTCTCCACCACCGATCCAATGCCTACGAGCTTTTCCTATATTGTTCTTCGCTTATTTACTTTTCCGCTGCTATTGTTATCATCACTATAAAACCCCAAAATATTACTTTTGCTACCGTTACCTTTTGCTACCGTTACCACTATGATACATCTCCAACGTATCTATAATTTTTGATTGCTCCATGCTATATTATCTACTGTTTTAGACATTATTGGGCTTTATTATCCACTTTTATATTATTTTTGGGACTAACCTATTAACCGGAGGCCCAGCCCAGAATTGTTGTTTTTTGCCTGTTTAGGGTTTCGAAGAAAAGGAATATCAAACGGAGTCCAAACGGAATGAAACCTTCGGGAACGTGATTTTCCAAACAGATAAGACCCGGGAGACTTGGACCCTATGCCAAGGCACATAACAGGAGGCCACGAGGTAGGGGGCGCGCCCTACCCTACCAGGCGCGCCCCCACCCTCGTGGGACCCCTGTTGCTCCACCGACGTACTTCTTCCTCCTATATATATCCATATACCCCCAAACGATCAGAACAGGAGCCAAAACCCTAATTCCAGCGCCATAACTTTCTGTATCCAGGAGATCCCATCTTGGGGCCTGTTCCGGAGCTCCGCCGGACGGGGCATCGATCACGGAGGGCTTCTACATCAACACCATAGACCCTCCGATGAAGTGTGAGTAGTTCATCTCAGACCTACGTGTCCAAAGTTAGTAGCTAGATGGCTTCTTCTCTCTTTTTGGATCTCAATACAATGTTCTCCCCCTCTCTTGTGGAGATCTATTCGATGTAATCTTCTTTTTGCGGTGTGTTTGCTGAGACCGACGAATTGTGGGTTTATGATCAAGTCTATCTATGAACAATATTTGAATCTTCTCTGAATTCTTTTATGTATGATTGGTTATATTTGCAAGTCTCTTCGAATTATCAGTTTGGTTTGGCCTACTAGATTGATCTTTCTTGCAATGGGAGAAGTGCTTAACTTTGGGTTCAATCTTGTGGTGCCCTTTCCCGGTGACAGTAAGGGCAGCAAGGCACCTATTGTATTGTTGCCATCGAGGATAACAAGATGGGGTTTTCTTCATATTGCATGAGTTTATCCCTCTACATCATGTCATCTTGCTTAAGGTGTTACTCTGTTTTTAACTTAATACTCTAGATGCATGCTGGATAGCGGTCGATGAATGGAGTAATAGTAGTAGATGCAGGCAGGAGTCCGTCTACTTGTCTCGGACGTGATGCCTATATACATGATCATGCCTAGATATTCTCATAATTATGCTCAATTCTGTCAATTTCTCAACAATAATTTGTTCACCCACCGTAGAATAGAATACTTATGCTCCCGAGAGAAGCCACTAGTGAAACCTATGGCCCCCGGGTCTATCTTTATCATATTATTCTCCTACTACTTTGCAATTTACTTTGCCTTTATTTTACTTTGCATCTTTATCATAAAAATACCAAAAATATTATCTTTATCATATCTATCAGATCTCACTCTCGTAAGTGGCCTCATAGGGATTGACAACCCCTATTTGCATTGGTTGCGAGTATTTATTTGTTTTATGTAGGTACGAGGGACTTGCGCGTAGCCTCCTACTGGATTGATACCTTGGTTCTCAATAACCGAGGGAAATACTTACGCTACTTTGCTGCATCATCCCTTCCTCTTCGGGGAAAACCAACGTAGTTCTCAAGAGGTAGCAAGAAGGATTTCTGGCGTCGTTGCCGGGTAGGTCTTCGCAAAAGTCAACATACCAAGTACCCATCACATACCCTTATCTCCCGCATTACATTATTTGCCATTTTCCTCTCGTTTTCCTCTCCCCCACTTCACCCTTGCTGTTTTATTCGCCCTCTCTCTCTCTATCCTCCCTCTCTTTCTCTATTTGCCTCTTTTTACCCGTTTGCCTCTCTGTTTGCTTGTGTGTTAGTTTGTTTGCTTGTCATGATGGCTCAAGATAATACTAAATTGTGTGACTTCACCAATACCAACAACAATGATTTTATTAGCACTCCGATTGCTCCTCTTACCGATGCTGAATCTTGTGAAATTAATACTGCTTTGCTGAATCTTGTCATGAAAGATCCGTTTTCCGGCTTTCCTAGTGAAGATGCCGCTACCCATCTTAATAGCTTCGT